TCTTGTTGCAGCCAAGATACGCACCCGCCTCTGTGCAGCAAAAAATGCGCTCCCAAATATGCAAGGAAAGCTTAACGTCGAAAAGCTGCAATCACAACAGACAGCCAGCGCTTTCGCTACTCGACTCTCACACTTGCTCTCAGAGAGCACTCTTCAACAAACCGACATATGCGAGCAGTGGAACCACATTTCCGGCTCATTAAGTACCGCCGCCGAATAAGTAGTCGGATTTCAGCGAGCCCAAAAGAACAACTGGCTAAACAGAATGGCTGAAAATTTTACCAGAGAGTTAGGCAACTTACGGAAGGTTTCAAGACCAGGGCGTACTCCTGTAAGAACAATAATGGCGACCTAGTAACCGATGTCAAGAGCGTACTTAAATTATGAAGAGCAAACTTTGCCGCCCTATTAAATGGTAGCAGCATGGAAAGTTGTGGAGAAGAAGAACCAAACCCGCAGTCGATGATGACGGAATCGACGTTCCACCGCCTGACTATGACGAGGTACGTATAGTAATAACGCGGCTGAAAAACAACAAAGCTGCTGGAGCTGACAGCCTGACAGCTGAGCTATTCAAGTACGGCGGCGAGGAGTGGATAAGGTGCATGCTCTGCACAGTAAACAAGAAAGGTTACCCCAACATTCGCGCCAACTACCGCGGGATCAGCCATTTAAGCACAGGTTACAAGGTCTTATCGATCGCATTGTGCGAAAGACTGAAGCCCACCGTCAATGAACTGATTGGGTCTTATCAGTGTGGCTTTAGACCTGGCAAATCCACCATAGACCAGGTATTACCAATACGCCAAATCTTGGAAAAAACCCGCGAGAAAAGGATCGACACTCACCACCTATTTGTCGATTTAAAGCCGCTTTTGACAGCACTAAAAGGAGTTGCCTATACGCCGCTATGTCTGAATTTGGCATCCCCTCAACACTCATACGGCTATGTAAAATGACGTTGAGCAATACCACCAGCTCCGCCAGAATTGGGAAAGACCTCTCCGAGCCGTTCGCCACCAAACGGGGTTTCAGACAGCGCGACTCCCTTTTATGTGACTTCTTTAATCTGATGTTAGAGAAGATAATAAGAGCTGCAGAACTACAAATTCGAGAAAGTAGAGAATTACGTTTACTTAACATCGATAATAATGTCAGCATTGAAATCCAACGCAGAATCACTCTTGCCAACAAGTGCTACTTTGGACTGAGTAGGCAATTCAGGAGTAAAGTCCTCTTTCGACGTACGGAAACCACGCTCTATAAGTCACTCATGCCCGTGCTATTATATGGCGCAGAAGCATGGACAATGAAAACAGCCGATGAGGCGGCTCTTGGAGTGTTTGAGAGAAAGATTTTGCGGAAGATTTACGGGCCTTTACGCGTTGTCGACGGCGAGTACCGCAGGCGATGGAACGATGAGCTGTATGAGCTTTACAACGACATGGACATAATGCAGCAAATTAAAATACAGCGGCTCCGCTGGCTTGGCCATGTCGTTCGAATGGACACCGACGCTCCAGCTCTGAAAGTATTCAACTCGGAACCCGCTGGTGGTAGCAGAGAAAGAGGGAGGCCCCCACTGCGATGGAAAGATCAGATGGAGAAGGACTTGGCTTCACTTGGCGTCAGTTAGCACAGAAGACTGGCGTGCTGTGCTGAACTCGGCCAAAATCACTTAGGCGGTTACAGTGCCAAAAAAGAAGAAGAAGAAGCAATAATAACGAAGCGATAAATTACTTAAACACAATTTACAGTAAGGGCTTCGTCTGCGTTAATAGTTTAAGTCAAGATATGTTCACTAGGAAAAAAATACCATTGGAAGTATAATAGATCACGTTTTGACGGGTAAATTGAACTTCAAATACTTCCTTTCCCTTGAAGATAATCCGATATCAGATCACAGATTAGTCTACCTCGACGTAGATGTAAACCAGAAACTACCTAAGGTAAATAACACAAGTCTGATTGAAGTATTTGATTACAGAGCTTTTAAAGATAAAGGGTTAATCAATGAGATTACCCAAAAAACTCCTTTTAGTGATTTTTATGTCTCGCTATCTAATAGTATAAAGCAGTGTACAAAAAAGATAAAGATATCAGGAGAAAAACACAGAAATCCCTGAATGAATTCTGACCTTTTAAAAATGATTAGAGTTAAAAATAAGTGCTATAAAATGAAAACAAAATATAAAAATTCAAAAAGTTTGAAACTGTGACCGAAGTTGGTCAGATTAAATATAAAGGAAAAACTAGCATGGATAAAATTGAAATTGCAAATAGCTTTAATGAATATCTCACAACAGTAGTTAAAACGCCGGATGTAATCGATTATATAGATCATCCAGTAAAAAATATCAAATATTCTTTCACCTTAAATGAATGTAGTCCAATAGAAATCAAAAATGCTATAGATAGCTTAAATACAAAATCAGCAAATGGCCCGGACGGAATTTCTGCGCGATTTATCAAAAAGTACAAGAACTATCTTGCTGGTACGATCTGTAGATGTGTTAACGATTGTTTTCGCTATAGCCAGTATCCCGAAGAATTAAAAGTAGGTTCAGTAGTTCCTGTGCATAAAGTAGGAAGCAAAGAATTATGCTCAAACTACCGACCAATAACTAAACTAAGAACGATCGATAAAATATTCGAAAGCATTCTTCTTAGTCGACTGAAAACATTTCTCTCAGAAAGTGATATAATTGATAAAAATCAGTTTGGATTTGTTGAAGGCTCCAATACGATGGCAGCCTGTATATCTTGCACAGAATTCATATATGAAAACCTCGACAAAAATAATTATGTTGCTCTTTTAGCTATCGATCTATCAAAGGCGTTTGATTCAGTAAACCGAGAAATAATGATTCGTAAGTTAGCTGAGTTGGGTTTAAAGGGCAAAGAACTGTCAATTTTCGAGACTTTTCTAACTAATAGAAAACAATTTGTATAGATAAATAATAAAAAAAGTTCGACTTTGAAAATAAGAGCAGGTGTGCCACAAGGATCAAAACTAGCGACAACATTGTCTATAATATTTATTAATGACATATTAGGAATAAAACTGAAAGGGGCCCCACAGTTCTATGCGGATGATGGAACCTTTATGTATTCTACAATTGCATTAGACGAATTAGTTGCTAACATAAAGGTGGTTTTAGATCAAATCAGACAATGGCTTGACTCTAATCTATTAAAAGTTAACTTAACAAAAACTAAATATATTATTTTCAATAATTATAGGCCAATTCCGAGCTTGAGTGATTTTCCTGGATTCTGTTTTGAAAACACAATGATTACCAGAGTGGAAAAATTGAAGTATCTAGAATGTGGTTCGACACTAACCTAAATTGGAATGAACATATAAACAAATTGGAACTAAATATAATACCATTAAATTTTGCCATTTATAGAAATAGAAATAATATCCCCAGAAAACAGCTCTGGGTGCTTTATGATGCGTACTTCATGTCCCAAATTACTTATTTAAACCCTATTTGGAGCCGGTGTTCGGAAAACAAAATTAATGAGTTGCAGATTCTGCAAAATCAAATAGTAAAAAATATCTTATCTCTACCGAAAATAACTCCAACTGTTAGTCTCTATGAAAACAGGTTAAACATTAAAAAGTACTGCATATTGCAAACACTCTTGATTGTATTCAAGATCAAAAATAATCTGATCAAACATAAACTTGACTTAAGCTTCGCAGAAAATATGATATACAAATATACGAGTTCAGAAACACACTTAATATAAGGAGTAGATTTTCTCGAACTCAAGGAAGCACTAATTCAATACGCAAATATGGTGTAAGAATGTTCAACAAATTACCAGGATATGTTAAAACATGTATTAATATTATTGGTTTCAAAATACAAGTTAAAAGTCTGCTGTTACTCAATTATAATTTCGAATTGTAAATACATAATACTCTAAATTAAATTCAATTATACTCATTTTGACTTTTACTAAACCATAATTTTATAGCAAACATATATATTCAAAATTAACTTATAACTACACACAAAATGTTCTTTTTCTGAGAAAATCCTGTATTATTTTAAATACGAAACCAATAAAGAAAAAAAATTAAAAGTTATACAACCGTTGCAATTTTTTGGTGTTCTGCAATTGGTTTTCGATCTCGTTTTTCATTGGTTCTGGTAAAGTTTTAGCTATTTTTTCTCGTTTTCGTTGCCTAAAAAACTTCCAGAACTATTTTTCGAGCACAAAGTTATTGTGCATAAAGGCAACAAGTTATATTTCTGTTTGCAACCAAAACTCGATTTAAAAATGGGCCAAGTAGAGGAATTGAAAGTCTTCAAAAAGCAACCGTCAAACCTGAAAAGGAATATAGTACGTATAAAAACGGGCCTTATTGAAAAGACCATGTCTTTAGATCCTTTCAAATTAAAATGTAGACTTGACATTCTAAATTCACACAGCGAAAATCGAATGACGTGTCAATCAAGATTAGAAGAAATTGATGAGGAAGATATGGCCCGTGGAGAATTGGAGGACTTAGTTGTTGAAACAAAGTCCATAATTAAGTCCATTCTTGCAAAAAATAAATCTTCTGCTGCTGAACGCTCATTTATTGCACCTCACAGCTCGCGACTCCCTAAGATGTCGCTACCCAAATTCAAAGGGGAGTATTCTGAATTTAAGAATTTCATGAGCTCGTTTCAGAGTTTAGTGCACAACGATCCTACCGGACAATTCCGGATATCGAAAAATTGAATCGTTTAGTGTCGTGTTTATCCGGTGAAGCATTGGGCACAGTGAAGCATAGTTGCCAACTTGGTGCTTTAAGCACTAAATTAAGTGCTTTTTGAAAATTAAAACGCCCAAAAAAATTACTTAGTGCCTAGTGCCTTTTTTAGTGCATTTT